GTATTTTAACTGAAATATCGGCTTCATTCACAAAATTATTGAGTCCGGAAATGAGACCACATAGTAAAAAACAGTTGAAATGAACTTACCTCTGACACTCCTCCGTGCTTCAGAGCGAGATAATAACAGATCCAGGCGACATGATGTGAAAAAAAAGAAAAAAGCAGTCCTGCACCTTAGTAATGATAACAAACTAATGACATTAGCGTGTGACCGGGTTGCTCCTAGAACAACAACAAACATGTTCGTCTGTAATGGCTGCCGTCTACCGGTGTTCTGAAAAAGTTTGTATCCCTGAAAAAACGTTGCCCCACCAGAGGGGGTGCTCGTGAGTAGGAAGTAATCTGCTTTTACCTCACAAGATGGCCCAAATCTCATGTGAAGTCTCTGATTTTTGTGTTGGCGCCTCCTGGTGGACTATGTGTAAAATGTCAGAATTCATATGATGCTGCCACAGCTGATATATATTTGTTGTCAAAATACCTTTTAGTACATATGTTGTTAAAATAAAACGAACAGTCCAATGATCATTTTACTGATATGTATAAAGACTGCAAAGGCTGAAAAATCTTGAAGTCTGTATGAAATTGGAGGTAGTTTGAGGATTAAATTTTTTATGCTTTTTAAGCTCAAAAAAGTGTGTGGGGGGTCGTATTATACATGAGATCGTATTATACACGAATAAACACGGTATACTGCATTTTTACATCAATTGAACGTAACATAAATACTTGACTGTGGTATAGTATTGAACTATGTGCCTGGAGAATACATCATATCCCTCCTTAAATATTTAAATTTTAAACAATCATGCACTCCCTCCCTCTTCTCCTACCTAACCATAACCTCCAACTGTAAAACCATAGATATTGAGAACCCTTTTCCCCTAACATGAATTTTAGATTTCTAATATTAAAATTATTGTGAGTTTAATATCCTAACTGGTAATCCATCAACAAAAGCAGTAAACCTGTTGACTCAACAGAAAATCAGGAATATGTTGTTTTCTGCAAGTTGGGGGCTTCATAATCAGATTCAAATCTTTATTGACTTCATGCCTCAGAAGCAACCCACACATCTCTGGAAACCTACACGGGGCTCTGTTCAGACTGGGGTGCTGCATTCAAAGAGGGTGACTAATATTCTGCAGTTTTTCCTTGCAAACAGAATCTGCGCAGTGACGTGACGGGACTCCTAACTTTTCTCTCTCACCTTTATTGTAAGTTTTCTGTCCGTTTGACTTTGCTGACGTTCCAGCATGAAAGAAAACAACCTGCCTCAGAAGGGCATTATTTTTGCAGAGCTGCTGACAATATGAAAACCACCTGAGT